TCTCGCAGTATGGGACACGGGATGGGAGGAACAGAAAGCACAAACACAGAGTGAGAGCCGTGAATAGACGGGAACAGACAAAAAACAATACCACCAAATAACAACTCACTGGACGAGAGCTTCTGGCCGACCCGGGTCTTCGCTCTGGTCGTCAGGTTCCAGCGGCGGCGAAAGCGCTGAGTCCACCGCTGAGAGCCGGCCCACCTTTCACCTGGGTGTAACTCTTTCATCACCTCGTGCGACCACTTCTGCAGTCGTGCGATCGAGACGGCGAGGCACTTCTTGCGGTGGGCGAGAAACCTCCGGTACACCTCCGCTTCCATGTCGCGATACCACGAGCTCCTTCCGCGGCCGTGCAGGCGACAGCGTGCACCGTGCGCGCCCTCAAGCTCACCCTTGCGGCTCTTCCACTCCGTGAGGCACCTTCGGGAGATGCCGGATTCGCGAGACATGCGCCGCACACTCATCTCTCCGGCTTCGAGCTTCAGAATCCACTGCAACTTCTCATGCGAGGTGTAGGAATTGCGCCTGTGCTTTGTCGGCTTGTGCCTGGGGGAGGGAGGACGGGCATCACGATTATCGCGAGATGGGTGGGGCCTTTTTTTATTCGGAGGGGGAAAGGAGGGAATTGGAAGGTGCTCGGGGAGACCGTCAGCAGCCCAGAACTCCACGTCGTCGTCCGCACCGGTAGCGGATTCGTCCAACGGGCAATCAGCCGGCGCTCCCCATCGTGGCTCCGGTGCGGAGGAAGATCCTTCGCCGCCGCTGTGTTCAGGCTCGGACAGGAAGGCGTCGAACGCCGAGAAGCCAGGGGGGAGGAGAAGCTGCAGAACCCCTTGTCGCGGAACACCAACAGAAGGCGGGACGGGAGGGGCCGGAGGAACGGGAGGAATAGGAGGCGCCGGGGGAGCGGGAGGGGTAGGAGGCGTAGGAGGCGTGGGAGGAACGGGAGGCACTACTGGTTGTGGTGGAGGGACGGGCGCAGGGCGCGTCTGCCATTGAGAGGAGTCACGAGTGTCTCTGCGGGTATTTTCTCTAGCAGCAGGTTGGCGGCGGAACAAGAAATGCGTGCCTGGAAGGCCCGCCATGGCCACGGCAGGCCAAACGAACGAAGAAAACTGAAGAAAAAGTTGGGAATGAGGGCCGTATGAAGCCCTCGCCCGAGACCCCTTCAGTTTCGCGGCCCGGCCTCCTCTGCGGGGAAAGTGTGACCACAGCCAAGATTCCCCGCAGAGGAGCTGAAAGGGACAGCTCCTTGCCTCGGTGGCAAGGGAATCTTGCTGTTGATGGGCACGTCGTGGCTGAACCACGACGTGCCCACGATCGCATGCAACCCTGATTGGGCCGCTGTGATGCGAAGTACGTGTGCCCTGGCATGGGCCAGGTTCACGTTCGATGAACCTGGCCTGGCCAACAAGGCGTGGAAGGCGTGATGCCACGCCTTGTTGGCCGTTTCACGCGCAAAGCATGCACAGAGACGAACGTTCTCGACTCAGGTGAATCCGCCTTTGAGAATGCTTCGATTTGGTATATATAAAAACAAATTTCATTTTTGACATAACATAAACGCCGGCGCTTATAATTTTACTATATTATAAGCCCACCCCCTAAAAAAAACATGTTTTATTAGTGCCCCCCATGGGGGTATATCCGGGGTATGACGGTATGAAGAGATATAGTTGATAACTGTTTTTACTGTTGCTGTTGCGGTTCGATACAGTGTCGACTCGGGCAACTGCTCAGTATCGAGACAGTTGTTTGTCCTTGCTGTCGCGCTGCATTTGTCAGGTCAAAGGTCGCTAACCTTTGACTTTCGCGTAACCTCCAACAGTTATTCAACCTCCGAGGGTTGACTCACCGATGTTTCGATACCGTCATACCCCGGATATACCCCCATGGGGGGCAATAATAAAACAGGTTTTTTCAGGGGGGTGGGCTTATAATCGAGTAAATTTATAAGCGCCGGCGTTTATAAAATGACATATATATTTTTTATATTTTTAACACCAAACTGTAGATCTCGTGCTTGCCTTTCCAATCGAGTCGAAGTTACATGGGGTCGTCTGTGAAATTCTCGCGCGCGCTGGGAGATACACCCAATCTGACTCACATCCAGCTCCTGACAGCTCCTGACAGCTCCTGCTGACTGGACCCGCATCCAGTGCAGGGTCCGAATGTGAAGGGAGCCGAATCTGCAACACATCCGCCTGCTAAAGTAAAAATCGTTACAGCATTTTGAACACATTTCAAAATTTAAAGTTTACGTGCGCTTATAATAAAACAAGTTTTTTCGGGGGGTGCGCTTATAATCGAGCAGCGGATATAAGCGCCATGCGCCAATTAAAAGCGCCAGGCGCTTATCCGAGGGTGGCGCTTATATCCGGGGTATGACGGTACGATCTGCTTCGCTTCTGTCTTGGTGTTTCGACACAACAGAGGCGCTTAAATCAGTTGTTTCCAACACCGGTTTCACACCAGCTAAATATAGCCGATGCATCATGCACTGTGCGCAGCTCACTTGCTCCGTCTCAGTTTAGTTTAGACGCCTTGTGCAGTTCTGCAGTTGTATGTTTGTTCATGAACAAACAAGATAACCAGTTACGGCAATGCTCTTTACAAAGTGTTTGCAACAGCAATTTTCCTGCTAATGGAGTCTAAAGAAAGTGTTTTTCTAACTTTGATGATACTTCTGATACACAAGGTAACACAATACAATGTATTTTAAGAGACAATCAGCTTGAAACGCCGCAGATGTAGGGGATTGCATGAAGTGATGATTTTGATGGTTTATCAACGACTCTTACAGAAGGTATATTACTGTATTGACATTTGGACCGTTGCATAAGCGCCTTGGTATGATCACGTGAAGGAACAAGGGCCGCCGCGTGCCAGCTAACCACCTCACCCTCCGCGTGGATCCTTTCCCCCGTGCTTTACCCACCTGCCGATCTTCAATGGTCAGTTTAGGCATGATGCCCTACCCTCGGAATCATGGAGACGGATTTGGCTGAACCTCGTTTTCGTGCTGTAATGTACAGTTTTCACTGCCTTGCGCTGTGAATCCCTGGGTTATGTGAAGCTGTTTACCGCTGACTTTCTTCCCGTTGCCCGTTCTGAGTTTGTTTGTTGTCGCGCTTGGCCACTCGGAGTGTTGTCCAATTGATTGTTTCCTTGCTAATGGCCATTGGCCTGATTTGGCGCGCATGTTGCAGAGGTCCTTCTAGATTGTTGAAGTCTTGAGAAACACGACATTTGGATCAACTTAAAGCCGGCAGCCCAAATTGCACAACTTCTAAAAGCTTGACGCGAGGGGGTTTTTCTGGTCTGGGGTTGGGCGAACGTTTTCGTTTACGGTTCTTTCTTTTTTTCGTCAAACCCAGCCCGCCCTCTTATTTCGCCCTGGGGGTTGGTTCAGTCCCCGAAAGTCCCAAATTGCAGGCGCGCTTTTTTTCAAACCTTGCAAACACTAGTTCGTCAAGTTTTAAAAGCTTGACCCGCGCGGCCCGCAATTTGGGCCGCGGGCTTTAAATTGTGCTAGCAGGTGGTAGTTACTAATCAGGCAGTCGCCGCGTGTTTGTTTTCCACGGCTTGGAACCCTGTGACACTTCGTTTTTTTTAGGGCTCAGAGCGTGTCTGTGCGCTTTTAGAAAAGGAAAGAGCACAGTGGGAAGGAGCTGACTCACATTAGAGGTTGAAATTTCACGCACCTAGTCTGTGCATTTTAGTGGAAATACCACCGATGAGTGCACTGGGCTCCAGTTTGAAACTCAACATTTCCCGTTGCTACTTGTGCCATCAATGTGTTCCTCTGACTATGCACATTTATGACGTCGCCGAAGCCTCCAATCAACCATTCAGGGGCACCGCAGGCGGTTTTCTGTACGGCACGCGGAACAAGCATAAGTGCAGCGGCGGGCGGAACAATCTTGTTTGCGCACATGCTGTGATTGGAGATGTGGGTCGGGGGAAGTCCGCTTGCAGCTGTACAGTGGTGTCGTGTACAGTTCACGTGGTCTCTGGTAGTTCTCACAATTGTCTTCAAATTGAAGGGCACAACTCTCTTATTGTACTTAACCCGTGGGATCTCTGATGGATCCGAGTTCGTATGAAGGGCTATTCTCAGTCCCAGATCGGGTGTTAACAAGCCCACTTACTCGGCAACTAGTAGCCTGTAGAGTTTAGGGTGTTGCCTCAGCTGAACCTCCCAGTAGCTAGGGGCGGTTCGAGTACCGGGGCACTCAACTGGTCGAATGTTTCGTCAAATAGGTGTCCCTCTTACTGTATCCCCAATTCCTTGAATTCGGGTCTGCCCTGTCCAATTTCCTCCCATTTTCCTAATTTGGCTTCTTTTTCCCTTCGGAGCGCGTGCCCACAGCCCTCCCCTTTCATCCACCAAACCCATTGCTCAAAGCATGTGCGGTGGTTGACAAGCAGGTGATGCAGCCACTGAAGTGGTCTTGTGCTCACTCCCAAACTCTTCAAACCTGAGCTGCTTTCACCACGTTATTGCAACCGTGTCCATACCCTAATTGAAGACTGTCACCTGCCTATTTCTCCTGTCCATTACGTGGACGGTTTATTAGACTCAACGCACGTTGTCGCACCATTTCTTCCTACTTACTCAGCCAGGACAAATCATCGTGAATACTCCACTTCCAGCTAATACAACACAACCACGCAGCCAAACGTGTGCAGCCTCGATGCCTGAACCATATCACGGATTCTGCTAAATCGTCAGCCTTTCGTTGTGCACAAACAAGCTGCAACATACCTCTCCAATTCCCGATCGTCTCAATCTCCATATAACCATATCGGCGATCGCCCGCTTACAAATCCGACTTCGATTCGTCAGCTTGCCGCACCTTTAACATCGTACCTTAGCAGAGCGATTATACCCGTCAATGGCCGCAATGGTAGCCGTCCCGCATGCAGCTCCTTACCGAAGCCCTCAGCCGACCCTTTCGCCAATATCCGACCATGCTTTCGCGGATATTCCGCCTATGCCCCGCCGCAGCCTAACGGTCCAGATCCCCGACCCCGAAAGCGAAGAGATTTCCGCTGAGCCCCCGAGACCTATTGAGTGGATCCGGGCGGGCGACGCGGTCTGCGACGACGACGACGATTCCGACGACGAAAATTGGGACATCGACATATCGCGCACGAGCACTGGGGGAACCCGTTACAGTGCGCCTCCTTATTGCAATGGCGGTTATCAGGACCCGCAAGTACTGCTGCTGGGCCTCCGCGCGGGATCGGACCGTCCGCCCATCTCCCACAGCGGACCCCAGCCGTGCACTGGCGCAATTCACGGCAGCTCGAGGCTTCCCAAAGGACAGGCCAGCTGCCCATCCGTACCCGACCCGAGCGGTGCTTCTCAATTCCGAAGGAATGAGGATGATGAGGGGGAAGAGGAATGGGACGAGGACAGAGAAGGCGAGGAGCAATCCCCCGACGCGGGAATCACGGCGTCGGAGATCTCCGCGCGATTGAAGCTTCTAGAGGTAGAGCTGCAGATCCTGGAAACGCATCGCCGAGTCGCTGTGCTACGCTGTCAGCGCGAAGTCAACGGTTCCGCGGAGATTAACTCCGGTGCGGATAAGGCCTCCGCCTCTGCGGCAACCACCGGTTGCGCTAGCGGAGCCGCGGACGCTGCTGCTGCGCCTGCGGGTAGCAGAGCCGCCAGTGTCTGCGCCGCTAGCAGCGCGGGAAATTCCGGAAGCAACTCCGCGAGCTCGTCCCGCGCGTCCTCGCGGTCGGAGTCCCCGCTGCGGCTGGGCAGGTGGCGGCGCAGCCGGCGGTCGAGCAGCGGAAGCAGCAGCCTGGGGCAAAGCAGCGCAACCAACAGTTCGGGGGGCAGCACTAGGAGCGGGCTGAGTTCAGGGAGGCGGAGCCTCGACTGGGAGGGGCTAAGGGGCGCGGAGAAAGCGAAAACCGCCCCAAGAAAATCTCTAGATCTTGCTGGCGTGGCGTGTATGGTGGAGGAGGATGATGAAGATCACGAGAGTGGGGAGTGCCTGGAGGTAGAGAGTGACTGTGAGGAGGAACTGCAGCTGAGCCCGCAATTTAGGGGATGCATGATGAGAGTGTCTTGTCGAGCGCCTCGCGGTGCGTGTTTCCCTGTGGCGGCGAAAGGGAACGGTGTGATTGCTGCGTTGCGGAGGCATCATCATAATTAACTGCACGTAGTGTGCTAAGTTACAGGAGAATTAGCTAATTAGTGGAACTATAGCTTCCCCCTGCCCTGTAAAATATTAGTATTGAGTATTTCATGAATGTTTATGGATTGCATTTCATCCTCTACACTGTTCAGACTTTTGCGTGGAGTGACGAAAAGGGGAGAAAGCAAAAGCGAATCATCAAGTTTGCTCCAGTAAAGCAACCAATCCAAATTCACGTTGGATTACTGCCACTTGAGCCACTCCGCCAGCTCAAACTCCAAGATCCGCGCCATTAACGACCACTCACCGCTCATCTCGACCGCCACGTAGAGAGCGGGAACCACGACGGCGCACCCATCAACCCAAAAACACATCACACGCATCCAGGCCGCATTAATTTCCTGCGCCACTACAGAAATGAATGCGCGGTCGCTGGCGCAACTTCTCGGGGGAGACAGGCGGAACATGGCCAGCGCCAGCGCCACCGCATCAATGCAGATTTTTCCCTTACAAGCTGCCGAACTTAAGGGTCTGGTCCGGTCTCCCTAGGTCCGCCTGCTCGCTCCCGCCAGCTGCGTCTGCCTGCGCCCCGCCGCCACAGCGGAGCAGAATTGCAGAGAGATCTTGGGCTTCGGGGGAGAGGAGGGGAGTCTCCGCCTCACATTCCAGCTGTCGCCTCGCCATCAGGAGAGAGCATTGAAGCTGGGATCAGCAGGACACACCAGAAATCTAAAGAAATACGCATTTTGCGGCACTGGTCCATTTTGGTTTTTGGACTGACGGTTTTCGTGTTTGGATCCCGCACACGCCATTAGGTAGTCTGCCTCTTGTGCGCCTCTTGTGCTTGTGTAGTTGCCTCTGTTGCAGCATGGCGACAGCGGTGATCCAGCCGCATTGCCATGCGGCTGTCGCTAGCGCGTCGTGCACGCGGCTGGCGAAGCCCTCGTCGTCGCAGGCGTCGCACATAAAATCGCCGATCTATGGCCGGCCCGTCGCAGCCAGCTCGTACCTCGAGTCGCACGCCGCCATCGTCGCAGCCTCGCCGATCGCAACCTCTCCGTCCTCCGCGATCCGCAACCGCCGCCTGAAGCGCCGCGCCGTCATCTCCGCAGCGGCGGGCGACGGCGGGGAAGGCGCGCCGGCACCGGTGCCGGTGCCGGCGGCGCCCGTGACGGCGCCGTGGAAGGGCGCGAACTTGAAGACGCTGGGAATCTCGGTGGCGACGGGCGTCGCGATGTGGTACTGCCCGCGACCCGAAGGCGTCGCGGCTAACGCGTGGCAGCTTCTGGCGATCTTCCTCGCGACGATCATCGGCATTATCACGCAGGTACGCGATGTGCGCGTAATGTGCGCTCTCTCCGTGATGCGCGCACACACCGCAATGTGCTTTTACAGCAGGAATGTGCGCTCCTGTTTGCAACAATGTGCGCTTTCGCTGTGAATGAAAAGCGGTAACCAGCGACCCACGTTTGGACGAAGCGCCGGGATTAACTACTCAAAAGCACCAAACGGTGGAATACGTACTCTGTGTATGCATTCTGCATTACGTTTAATCTTTTCCCTCCTCCCGCGCCCACTTCCCCCCTTTAACCCTCCCCCGTTCCTGTTCCGCGCAGCCGTTGCCCCTGGGAGCGGTTGCGCTTATGGGTCTGGGCGTGAGCGTGCTCACGAAGACGCTCACCTTCGCTGCTGCCTTCAGGTACTACTGTGTAACATTCGTGAACAATGTATTAGTGCAGCTTTTTAACTGTGTAGCCCCGTGTTATTGTGGGCTTATAGCACTCGTCGCTTGCGCGTACTTGTTTACGAAAATGTATCCCTTACCTCCCTTTCCCCAACCACCTTCCCCCCCTCCCCCTTCGTTCCACCCTTCCTCTTTTCCACCCACTCCCCCCGTACCTTACCCTCACTCCTTCGCGATCCAATCGCTTGGTTCATCACGCTTCCCCATTCTACCTCCCCCTTCCCCTTCCCCTTCCTCCCCCCCTCCCACCCCGCACATTCCGCAGTTCCTTCAGCGATCCCATCCCGTGGCTCATCGCACTCGCACTCTTCTTCCCCCCTTCTCTTTCCCCTTCCCCCCCGCACTCCCCTCCCTTCCCCCACCCCCTTCCCACCCAACCCCCCCGCTCCGCAGCTCCTTCGGCGATCCCATCCCGTGGCTCATCGCGCTCGCATTTTTCTTCGCCAAGGGCTTCATCAACACGGGTCTCGGCAACCGCGTTGGTTACCAGTTCGTCGCCGCTTTCGGCAGCACGTCGCTCGGCCTGGGTTACAGCCTCGTGCTCTCCGAAGCAATGCTCGCGCCCGCCATCCCCTCGGTCTCCGCGCGCGCGGGCGGGATCTTCCTTCCGCTGCTCAAGGCGCTGTGCCAGGCGTGCGGAAGCCGCACGGACGACGGCACCGAGAAGAAGCTTGGCTCGTGGCTCGTGCTGACCTGCTTCCAGGTAGGTTCCTTCACTTACGGTGCTTCCAGGTAGCTTCGTAAATTCATGGTGCCTCCAGGTACCTTCCTGAATCCTTGGCGGTCCAAATATCAACACTAACGTCCCTATTTCTAAACATTCTCGTGTCTCACGTCCCCCGTTCCCCTCTCGTCCCCCAACTTCCCTTTCCCTTTCCCCCTTCCCGCTCCCCCCCCCCTCTCTCCCCCCGCGCCTTCCCCTCCCCCCCTCCCCCAGACGTCCATTGTCTCTTCCGCCATGTTCCTCACAGGCATGGCGGCGAACGCGCTCGTTAATACGGCTCCATTCATAGCATCTGCGTACCTTCCCCCCCACCTTTCCCCCCACCCCCCAGACGTCCATCGTATCCTCCGCCATGTTCCTAACCGGCATGGCGGCGAACCCGCTCGCCGTGAATCTCGCGGCGGGCGCCATCGGCCACACGATAGGCTGGACGGAGTGGGCCAAGGCGGCGCTGGTGCCCGGACTCATCTCGCTCGCCGTCATGCCCGCGCTGCTCTACGTCATCTACCCGCCGGAGATTAAGGCCAGCCCCGACGCGCCCAAGCTCGCGCGCGAGAAGCTCTCGAGCATGGGACCGATGAGCACGAACGAGAAGATCATGGCAGGCGTGTTGGTCGGCACGGTGAGTCATGCGAGGTGCAGGCACAATGTGTCAACTGATGCCGCCAGTGTGTTTGTATTTGTTGCACGCCCGTATGTGGCGCGCGCGTCCATGGGGCCGATGAGCACGAACGAGAAGATCATGGCTGGCGTGCTGGTCGACACGGTGCATATTTGTGCATTGTGGTATAGTGCGGTGTAATCCGGTGAAATGCATCAAGGCTCTGCTACAGGCTGCGTGGCATGCAGGCGGCCAGACCAGAAGCTCGCGGCCATGGGGCCGATGAGCACGAATGGGAAGATCATGGCTGGCGTGCTGGTCAGCACGGTCTGTGAATAAGGTCATTGGTGCACCAGTGCGTGTGTGTTCACAGTGGTGCAGTGTCGTGAGGTGAAATGTAGCGAGTCTCAACTACAGTGTACAGGCCGCGTGGCGTGTAGCTTGCGCGCGAGAAGATCGTGGCGGGCGTGCTGGTCGGGACGGTGGGTGATGCGAGGTGCAGGCGGGTGTGTAAGCTGATACCGCCAATGTGTTAATATGTTTTTGAGGCGAATTTAAAAACAGGCTAATGTGTTAATATTGCGAGGGTTGCATGCCTGTATGTGGCGCGCGAGGGGAACGGACGAGCATGGGGCCGATGAGCACGAATGAGAAGATCATGGCTGGCGTGCTGCTCGGAACGGTGCCTGAGTGTGTGTGGTGATGGAATGCGGTGTAGTCAGGTGTGGCATGTAGCTGACCAGATCAGGAAGCACTGACTTAGGAAAGCTGCAAGGTCAGAGCTGTAAACAAAAAGGCCATCCGTGCACTGAATCTGTGCTAAGAATCGAGTGTTTTTTTAGGAAGTCTCAAGAATACCTTTCGGTCTCGCTTGCTCCTTCCCTTCCCCGTCCCTCCCACCTTTCCCCATCTGCAGGTGGGTCTGTGGGTCTGCGGCGGCGTGTTGGGCATCGACGCGGTAACCGCAGCCATCATGGGGCTCAGCGCGCTGCTGATCACGGGCGTGGTGACGTGGAAGGAGTGTCTGGGCGAGGGCGTCGCGTGGGACACACTCACGTGGTTTGCTGCTCTCATTGCCATGGCCAACTATCTCAACAAATACGGCCTCATTGCTTGGTTCAGCCAGACTGTTGTCAATGTGAGTGAACGTAAATGCGAGACAGATAGAGTGCTTATGAATGAGAGGGGGGGAGGGAAAGAGGGAAGCCAGTCGCACACTTCCTGGTCTACTTCCCAATCTCCTGGCTCTCGTCCCTTCCCACCGTTCTTTTGCATGACCAGCCGTCATACTCCCTCTTCTCATCATCCTTTCCACCACTCCCCTCTCCCATTCCCCCCACTCTCCCCCACTCTCATATCCCCACCCACCAGCTCGTCTCCTCCATGGGTCTCGCCTGGCAGCCAGCCTTCGGACTCCTCGTCATCCTCTACTTCTACTCGCATTACTTCTTCGCTTCCGGCGCTGCTCACATCGGAGCCATGTTCGTTGCCTTCATCTCCGTCGCTTCGGCTCTCGGCACGCCTCCCCTGCTCGCCGCCATGGTCCTCTCCTTCATGTCGAACCTCATGGGTGGGATCACGCACTACGGGATTGGTTCCGGCCCGCCGTTCTATGGGTCGGGGTACGTGTCACTCAATGATTGGTGGTTCTACGGGTTTATCTGCAGCGTGGTGAATCTGGTGATCTGGCTTGGTGTGGGCGGGTTGTGGTGGAAGTTTCTGGGGATCTGGTAGAGTTAGGGAGAAGGTTTAGGGAGAGGGAGAGGGGGAGGGGAGGAGGAAAAGGGATGAATTACATATTATGCATATGACTAGCACAGTGCGAGTATTGTTTGTTATGTTATGACTAATGTGTTGGGCTGAGAAAAGCCCTTGAGATATTTTTCAAGACTCAAGTCTCAAGAGTAATGATATACCGTATCACCCCGGATATAAGCGCACCTGCGCTTATAATAAAACATGTTTTTTCACGGGGGTGCGCTTATAGTTGAGTGAAAAATATAAGCGCATGTGCTTATAAAATAAACAAATATACAATTTTAAACTACTAGCACGAAAATGTGGTTCGCGTCATTGCGCACCCAATCGAGTCGATTTGAAACAGGGTTGTGGGTGAAAAACAGGCCATAAATGGGCTTAAATTAATATTATGATGGGCCACGATACAATATTATGTCTAGTATGATGGGCTTAAATTAATATTATAATTTGTAAAAGTGTAACACTTTTTCAAATTTCGTATTGTGAAAGCGAGGGCGTGGCCAGCAAAGCAAAGGTAGCGGCTCGACGCTACTCACCCCTCTTTTGCCTACAAAAGAGGAACGTGATTCCAGTAGCTCCACCCACGTTCTTCATTTCCATTTTCTAGTTTTACTTTCTAGTTCTCGTTCATCCTTGCGAAGACGCAATCTCTCCCGCGGTTCAAGTCCCCGTCGACCCTTCTTACCGACATTCTCCAACACAACCTGGCGAACATGGCTCCCGCCAACACTACCCCGAATAACGCTGCGGACAATGCGAACGCGCCCGGGGCACCTGACCGCCGCGGAAAACGCCCTGCTGAAGATAATTTCGGCGAGGGCACTTCAGGCGTCGAAGTGCTGCTCGGGAGCAACTCCCGAGCCCCCTCTGAAGAAGCACGCGCGACTGTGAAACAGTCGCGCGTGCCTCCTGCTGACGAGCGTGTGGCTGCCAGGCAGCCGCGCGTTCCGGTCAAGTCAACGCCGGCTGACGCGGACGGCGACGCTGGTCAACCGGGGCCCACTCTGCAGAAGCGACAGAAGGCAGCGACCCCAGTAGAAGCCGCCCCAGTCAACCCCCTCGCGTCCCTCACTGCGCAGCAGATGCAGGCACTGCTCTCGATGTTACAGCAGCACGCCCCAGCTACAATCGCAACTTCCTCCGACTATATTTCAGCACCTGCAAAAATCGAAAATCAGAAAGAAGTCACTGCTCCCCGCGCAAACAAGGCTGCTCGCGTCAACGATACCACTGCCGCACCTCTCCCCGCTCCCGTACCGGCACCGATCGCCGCTCAAGACGACAGCGTCGACTCAGAGAACGACGATGTGGCGGACGACAAGCGGCGAGCGGCGGAATGGGACCCATACGAGAACGCGGTCACAGACGACACGGTGAAGGTCATGCGCAACCGACTGCGTAACCAACTGCACTGGTGGATATCGTGGTGCGGCAGCAGTTTTATTATCTCGATCATTGCCAGGGGATATTGGCTGCCTTGGAAAACTACAGAACCGCCACCCTTCGAAACAACAAACCTCGCGGGTGTTCATGCACACACCACATTCACTCGTGAGGCCATTCGCGACTTAATTACGTCGGGCGCGGCCACAAAGGTATCCTCGCGGACTGCGCTCTCGTGCGTAAGCCCACTCAACGTGGTGGAACAACGCGACAAATGTCGCCTCATCCTCGACCTACGCAAGGTCAACCAACACCTCCAAGTCCCCAAATTCAAATACGAGGGCCTGAATCAGGTTTTAGAGATCATTCGACGCAACGACTGGTTGTTCACCATTGACCTAAAGTCGGGCTACCACCATGTTGAGATGCACCCATCATGCTGGAAGTTCCTAGGCTTCCAATTCGAAGGCAATTTCTACTGCTTCCGAGCTTTGCCGTTTGGACTGGCTACAGCACCTTTCGTCTTCACCCAGTTGATCAAGCAATTGGCCAAACGTTGGCGTGCATGTGGCGTCCGCGTAGTCCCATATGTTGACGACTTGCTATTCCTCTGTGACTCTGCGGAGCAAGCACGCAAGACATGCACAGAGGTTCTACGCGACCTGGGGGCGGCAGGTTTTGTGATCAACAAGAAAAAATCGCGCCTCCAGCCGGCCCATCAAACACGGTTTTTGGGGATGGAGCTTGACACGGAAAGCGGCATGTTTAGCATCGGATCCGATCGGCGGGCACAGATCCTGGACACGCTCAACACACTCATCTCTAAAGGGCAACGCGGCCAACAAGTCCCAATTCGGCAAGTCGCTCGTATCACCGGAATGTTGAGCTCCATGTCCCTCGCATTGGGCACGACGGCACGCGCCTTCAGCCACGAGCTGCTACAATTAATTGATGCAGCGGAATCTTGGCACTGAAGAATCTGGATGCCACGGGCCGCCATTGAGGAGCTGATCTTCTGGCAACTGCACTTCGACCAATTTACTGGTGCCCCATTTCACCTGAGCCATCAATTCGATGCCGTGATCCACGTCGACGCGAGCGCTCACAGCTGGGGCGCCACCCTCACCAAGTTTACCGACGCGTCGTATGAGGCAAGCGCCAGCATGCCGAGCGAGCTCCTCCCAACCTCAAGCACTCAAAGGGAGCTCGAGGGGGTCCTCTGGGTGCTAGAGACGTTCGCGTCTCGCATCAAAAGCGGCCACGTTTTGGTTCGCGTGGACAACCAAGGAGTCGTGTTTATCTTGCGCAAAGGGGGGTCCAGCCAACCTCGGCTGACACTGACATGTCAAGCAGTCATACAGTTCTGCCTCAAGAACCATACACGCCTGGCAATCGAATGGATCCCACGGGAGCTAAATGCCCACGCAGACGAACTGTCTAAAATCCAAGACCACGACGACTACTCGTTGCACATGCCATGGTTCCTCCTACTGGAACGTCGATGGGGTCCCCACACGATTGACCTCTTCGCGAACATTACCAATAAGAAGCTGCCACGATTTTGCTCCAAGATACCGCACCCAAGCGCCACAACAATTGACGCGTTCTCGATCTCGTGGAAAGGCGAGCGCTGCTTCACCTTTCAGCCCCCCGGCTTGATCCCGGCCACACTCTCTCACGCCAGGCGCACACAAGCCGAGTTGACACTCGTCGTCCCCAAGTGGCCAGGAGCAGCATGGTGGCCGTTGCTACAACCCTCCCCACAGAAATGGGCCCCAGAAGTAATCGCATGCTTGCCCCTCGCGCAAGGAAGCTAGTGCCTTCGACCTGGCATGCACGCAACAACATTTTCCGGACTCGGCCTACCGCATAGCCCAATCATTGCCCTGCATGTAAAATATCATATGTAACTAATATTCGAATGGTAATTCTTTCAGGATTGTTGACCAAGCTTCAAAACCAACTGTTACAAGTTATAAATGATGTTCGCGCACCATCCACGATCGAGACATATCAACCTTACTGGCTCAAATTTCGCAACTTCTGCACTCAAGTCAAGTTAGCATTCCTGCCAGCGACGGACCTCACGCTGGCACTCTACCTAGTCCACGCGCTGAACACCAAGGCAACGGTGTCAGCGATCAACCTCACGTGCTCCGCCGTGGCCTTCGCCCATCGGATGACCGGCGAGGCATCCCCAACGAACGACCCGTTCACGCTGCAAGTACGGGAGTTTGCTAAGCGACATGGCCTACGCCCGACTAGGACCAAGGAACCCGTGTCACTCCATCAAGTACACAACATGGCACGACCCTTCCTAGAATCAACAGTGCCGGCGGAATATCAGAAAGGCTTGATACCTCTCTTGATGTTCGCAGCATTCCTGCGCTACTCCGACCTGATCTCCCTCCAATGGAACGACATCCAGTTTGAAGGGGCGGCCATGTGGCTACTGATCCCATACTCCAAGACGGACCAAGAAGGCAAGGGCACGTGGATCCCGGTCGCAGCGTCAGCAGGGCCCTACTGTGCAGTGAGATGCACACGGGAGTTCATTCGCATCGTAGGCCTTACAAACATGCCACACGGACCTCTGATCCGGGTTTTCAACAAAAGGGCACAAGCCTCGCCGCACGACAAATCGCCTTCATATCCAACCATCCGGAGCTGGTGCCTCGAGGCTTGCAGGAAGGTGGGACTCGACGCCACGCACATTGGAACACACTTATTCCGCAAGGGCGCAGCAGCAGCTTTAGGCATCCCCGACCGGCTCTTCAAACGAATGGGGCGCTGACGAAGCGACGGCGCGAAGGACCTATACGTCACCATTGCCCAAGACCAACTCATCGACCTCTCCACCCAGCTGCAGGACACCTCAGCAGCCCCATCGCCTGCTAGGCACCAGCAATCGTTGGAGAGGCACCGCCGACCCAAAATGCACTTGCCTCAGAAGACCCACTTGGAATGAAGCACGCTGCCTTTGCAAGATGGACTAAGCAAGCTTTCACAATATTATAATTTGTAAAAGTGTAACACTTTTTCAATTTTCGTATTGTGAAAGCGAGGGCGTGGCCAGCAAAGCAAAGGTAGCGGCTCGACGCTACTAACCCCTCTTTTGCCTACAAAAGAGGAACGTGATTCCAGTAGCTCCACCCACGTTCTTCATTTCCATTTTCTAGTTTTACTTTCCCACCACCCACCCCATTGTGTATCATTGATGAACGAGAACGTTGTACTTGCCCACTTGGAATGAAGCACGCTGCCTTTGCAAGATGGACTAAGCAAGCTTTCACAATAGTAGAGAATATATTTATGGCATTTGATATACATGGTTTTATATGGACCGGACATATGATAGAACTAATGGTAGTATATGCGCGCTCATATTGGTTGTTGGGCGACCCTTTATCGCCTAAATATATGGTCGTGGATTATATGACCGTGCGTGATTGGACGCGCATTGCCAAAAAGGGCAAGAAGCATATTATCGACCAATCGTGCGCGGTCAATAATATGTTCGTGCATTTATGCTCTGGCGTTGCAGTTTATGATCGCTGATGTATTTGCACACACGCTCATTGGTCGAGCAT